TTTTTTCTTTTCTATAGTAGACCCTGCAGTTCAACAAAACATACCCACTTAATTTGCTGTCATGTACCGTCAGTCAGAACCGATTCATAGCAGACCCTCCAGTGGTTTTTTGGAGGCTGTAAATCACATGGATAGAGGCTGCTCATCTTTCTCACGTGGAGCAGCTGGTGGATTTGAACCATGTCCTTTGGGTTGACAGTGCATCTCCTTGCCACTAATCCACCAGAGAACCCTTTAAAAGAAAACCTTTATTGCAACCTTTTTTTCTCTTTCTGAAAGTGTGCTTTTCAGAAAAGACTGCCTTCCATAGCAGTCATCTATGAATTTTTCCTGAAAGTATCTTCTGCAGCTCCACATATGTGTCTGACACACTTTACCGGAATACATTAAGCCTTGTCAGTGGTATGTTCTCTGCACGGCTGGTACTGTGCTCGTGGCTGGAGACAGACAGCCGGACAGCCGGCTCAGCTGACCTTCCCTTGGGTCCCGGAGGCTGGAAGTCTTTACAGGAGGAGACGCCCGTCTTTGTCCTGCGAAGCCGCTGGTGGCTGCAGGGTGTTCTCTGCCAGGTTACCACAGATCACCCCGCTGCTGCTTTGTGGGTCCATCCTGAAGCGACCCACCGCTGGGGTCCAAGGCTTTAGCCTCCTGGAAAGGCCTGTGACAGTTTTCTCAACACATCTTTCGATTTCTTGACTGCTGCTACCGTGGGTGTCAACTGTGGACCGAAGGAAGATGAGCCCTTGCCATTTCCAGCCTTTTAGCCTTCTCTCATGTCGTTGTGTGTTGGTCCAGTGTTGAATATTTTTGTTTTCTTGATGTTGAGGTTTAAAAAGGCTGTGCCGTGACCTTCTTCGTTAAGTATTTCAAATCTTCATTTTCTTTAAGCAAGGTTATGTTACCTGTATAATGGACTGTATGGTGATCGCTGAGTCTTCCTCCAATCACAGGGCCACGTTCTTCAGATGATTCAGCTTCTCGAACGATTTGCTCAGCATACAGGTTGACTAGATGTGGAGAGAGCATCCAACCGTGACACACGCCTTCCCTGATTGTAAGCCAGACTGCGTTTCCTTGTTCTGTTCAGTTGCTTCGTGGTTCACATGCAGGTTCCACATGAACACAGTTAAGTGTTCTGAAACAAATACAGAAATACGACCATTCCTTGACTTGAACATCACTTTAGGATCGGGTAGGGTTAGTCTGCAGCTGGAAATTTCTGGGGAGAGGAACCTACCTCGCTAAGTTGTAGGATCCCTGAATAATGAGAATGGTGAATGCCCTTGACTATAAATGAAAGATTGGAGGTTTTGGGTACGCTGGAAGAAAGATCTGGCAATCCACATCCCAAAAAATCAGTGACTGATAAACTTTTGGAGCTCAGTTCTCTGTAACACACGTGAGGTTACTATCATGGGTTCAACCGTGTGTCCCCAAAATAGATACCAGTCTGTCTGGACCATAATTCTCAGTATAAAGTGCTGGGAAACAGAGGCAGTTAATGTGAAAACTATTTTTTTGTTTTGTTTTTTTGAAAACTATTTTAACCACAAGGTAACTCGTGGTTGCTGTGATGCTGAACCCTGTGACCCTGATGTGTCAGATGTGATAGTGGTCACCCATGATGGACAGTGTTTGGTGAAGCTCCCTGATTAAAACAAGCTTGGAAGCAGGAGTGGCATCCACTTCCGTAAACAGCTTGCATCCAGAAACCCTATGAATGTGGAGAAATGATGAAACTTATACAGGTGTTCAGGTCTTTCATTCATAAGGTTGCTATGAGTCACCTATATCTCAGCACTTAACAACAACCACACAACCCATCCCTGTTCAAATTGTATCCAGTATTGAATTTTTTTTTGTTCACACCATCTGTTTTCATTATTGGAAGACAAGCTGAAACTAGGAAAAAATAAGTTTTTGACGCAGCAAGGATGTTGCTACTATAATGTGGGATGTATCATTCCCAGTTGTTAGAACTGGTGGGCAAAGGCTGTTTCTTTACATTCACGAAGTTACACAGGTCCCCACTGGGATAGCACACACTATAGCTGGGATAGCAGCTTCCCGGCAAACCCAGGAAACTGGAAATGTTGGCAGGTGTTGGGGCCCTGGGATCACTAAAGGGCTGAACTATGTTAGACTTGAATTATTTTTTGCTGAGTTTTAGAGGTTAGATTTGAGGATGAGTAATAGAATTTTCATCTACATTTTGTTACCAGTTTTGGCCTTTTAGAAAATGTTGCTGTTGTTGTTGTTGTTATGTGCCGTCGAATTGCTTGGGACTCATAGCGACCCTATGTACAAGAGCCCTAAACCCTGCTCTGTCCTGTGCCAATCTCACCGTCTCCAACACTCTCATTCCCACCACACCAGTCACTGAATCGATCCATCTCATCAAGGGTCTTCCTCTCCTGCACTGTCCCTCCACCCTCCCAAACATGATGTTTCTCTCCAAGGACCGGTCCCTCCTTGCAACATGGCCAAAGTATGTCAGATGAAGCTTCAGAATCCTTGCCTCCAAGGAGCAGCCCTTCCTTGCACTGTTCTTACAATCTCTTTTGTTCTCTCACCGGTTGTCACAGTCACTGTGTCCACCCTTCATGTTGGGTTCTTCCTCTCTTTCTCTGTCCCTCCACCTTCCCCAGCATGAGGTCTTTGTTCCTCTGATGGCCCCTCCTGACAACATGCCCTGAGTATCTCAGATGAAATCTCTCCGTCCTTGCCTCTGAAGAGCACACTGATTACACTTTATCAAAGCCAGATTTGTTGGGTTTTTTGGCAATCCGTGGAATATTCAGTGCTCTTCTCCAACAGCACAATTCAAAGGCATCAACTCCTCTGTCCTTATTCATTGTCCAACTCTCAGAGGCAGAGGGAGGCTTGGATCAGGTGCACCTCGGTCTCTACTCTGACATCCTCAACTTTAGCAGCGTAGAAAGCTACTTGCCAGCGGATTTGCTCAGTGCAACATGTCTTTTGTTTGTTTGGTGTTTTGTGGGGTTTTTTTATTAATTTTAATGAAAGTTTACAGAGACTTAGAGTTTCCTGTCATTCATTGTTGCACTTTTCTCTCTGCCCACCCCCTCCCCCTAATTCACTCTTCTCCTTGAAAATGAAAAGAAAAACTCTTTCATTGTTATGCAGTCCCTCCCTACAAGTCCACTGCACTGTGCGGCTTTCATTCTAGACTCCTGTCATGACAATAATACCTAAGCACATATCCCTTTTAAAGAGTTCTCTCGCTCATCTGTTTCAGTGAAGTATACATCGTTCCTCCCCTCCTTCTCTATCTTCCCTCAACCCCATGTCAGTCCTGTTTTACAGCAGTGGCCCTATTCAATGTTTGTCTTTTTGTAAATGAGATATTTCACTCAGCATAATGTCCTCCAGGGTCACCCATTTTGAATAATATTCCATGAGTTTCTTGTTTTTCAATGCCACATAGTATTCCATTGTGTGAATATACCACAGCTTCTCTATCCATTTGTTTGTTGATGGGCACTTGGGTTGTTTCCAGCTCTTTGCTGTTGTGAACAGAGCCGTGATAAACATGGGTGTGCAGTCTTTTGATTTCTAACTGTTGCTTCCAAGGATGTTGATTGTGGATCCAAGTCGAATGAACCCTTGGCAGCTTCAGTTTTTTCCCCCATCACTTTCTGCAAGCTTGGTTGTGCCGTCTGCACCATGCAGGTTGCTGATGGGTTTTCCTCTGGTCCTGATGCTGCATTCTTCCTCATGTAGTCTGACTTGCTCAGGCCGTGGAGGTGAAGGTTTCGCCTCGCAGAATCTCTGCTCAGACTTTGTCCTTTCGGGATGAGCTACAATTACTCAAGCAGGAGAGAGGGGCTCCAAGGAGACTTTTGTCCCTGAATGGTACTTGACTACTAACAGGAAGGTTGGCAGTTCAAATCCACTCCGAGCTGCCTCAAAATACAGGCCTGGCAATCCACAAAAACCCAGCCTCGGAAAACCTTGTGGAACACAGCTACCCTGACACCCAGGGCTCAGTGGAGTCAGAACTGAAGGGCGACTGGCTGGTTGGTGGGGAATATGAGAGCTTTAGGAGTGCTGGTGCCAGAGCACATTATGTGTTGGATTGCCAAGTGAAAGGTCAGAGGTTCAAATCCGCCAGCACACTGATGCAGGCTCCCCCTGTAAATACTTCCAGCCTCAGAAACCTAATGGAAGGTAGTTGTGAGTCAGAACCAACAAAACATTTAGTGGGACAATAAGTTAAGTGTTGACCTTGCTGACCTGAAGCTTAGAATAGTTCAGACCCACCCGCTGCTTCTCAGGAGAGAGGCAATGGTGACCAGGGAAGATTTGCAGCCTCAGAAGTCTGGTGGGGGGAGTCAGGCTCCACTTTACAACAGGGCAGTTAAGGTTTCAGGGGTTTGGGGAGCTCTGGTGGCCTACTCATAAGAAGCTGCACTGTAATCCTGAAGGCATACGGTTCAAATCCACCAGCTCCTCCGCAGAAGAATAGAGAGTCTCCTACCAGGCAATTAACTGCCTCTGAAAACCTGCTGGAGGGTCAGCTGTGGCTTAGTTCCAACTCTACAGCAAACAGCAGTAGTAGGTTATGTGTTAGACTGCTAACCTAGAGTTTGCTAGTTCAAGCCCAGCATCCTCTTCTAGGGAGAGAGAGGAGGCCTTCTCCTTCCATAAAGATGTCCAGCCTCAGAAACTGGATGGAGGGTCGCTGTGAGTTAGAATCAACCCAGCAGCATTGGGTTTGGTGATGTGGTAGGTGGATTGTTGGGCTGTTAATCCACACGTCAGTAGTTCAAACCCACCAGCTCCCATCGGAAAGCAGCAGTCCCTCCCGGAGAGCTTTGGACGCTCAGTGGAGAGGGTCCCCGTGAGCCCTGCGCTGGACGGTGGCTCTGGACGGTGGCTCTGGACGGTGGTGGGTGTGCCGGGGTTGGTGGGGGCTGGGCGTGTCTGGGGTCTGCACTGAGCCCCTGGCCCTTGTGACCCCTGTGGTCTCTCCCCAGCGCATGGACATGGACCGGCGCCGGGAGGACGCGCGGAACCCGAAGCGCAAGCCCCGGCTGATCGAGGAGGACGAGCTGCCCTCCTGGATTATCAAGGACGACGCGGAGGTGGAGCGGCTCACCTGCGAGGAGGAGGAGGAGAAGATCTTCGGCCGAGGGTCCCGCCAGCGCCGCGACGTGGACTACAGCGACGCGCTCACCGAGAAGCAGTGGCTGCGGGTGAGTGTGGCCTGCGCCCGGGGGAGCGGTCAGCGGAGGGCGCGTCCGGAATGAGGGGTCGCTGCTGCCGGTCAGGGCAGTGCCAGCCGCTGATTGGGGCGGTGCCAGTCTCCCGGTCAGGGCAGTGACTGCCGATCGGACAGTGCCAGCCCACTGGTCAGGGCAGTGCCAGCCCGCCGATTGGGGCGATGCCAGCCCACTGGTCGGGGGCGGTACCAGGCTGCCGGTCAGGACAGTGACTGCCGATCTGGACGTTGCCAGCCCACCGGTCAGGGCGGTGACTGCCAATCGTGGGGTGCCAGCCTGCCGGTCAGGGCAGTGCCAGCCCACCTATGGGGCAGTGCCAGCCCACCAGTCAGGACGGTGCCAGCCCGCCGATTGGGGCAGTACCAGTCTCCCGGTCAGGGCGGTGCCAGCTGGAGTGTCATGGTCGTGTTTGGGCTTCACTCGGCTGCGCTCTTGCTGGAGGTGAAGCAGCCGTTGGAAGCAAGGTCTTGTTGGTGCCGAGACCTCTGATGTGGTGGATCAGCCGTCCAGCCTCGCTCCACATCCTTGTGAGAGTTCATGGTGCCCTTCATTCTGTGGTCTGTAGTAGAACTTGGTGTGACCACAGCCGACAGGTTGTTTGGGGACAGTGGTGGCTCCAGACTGGCTAGGCCATTTTGGAGGTCTGGGTGCCTTATCCTTGCCTGGTTTGACAGATGCTGAGCCTCGAGAGGTTAAGTGGCCACACAGGGACACCCCCACAAAAAAAAATAAACCACAACTGTCTCCTGGAGACCTGTGGGTGCCAGGCAGAAGCCTGGGCCGGTTGTCTAGATGGTGGCCCCTCAGAAATGCATTGCCAGGCCCCCTCAGGTTTGAATTGCCAGTTCCGTGAGTGTTCCAACTGGGGGGCAGGCGTGTGTCGCCGAGTGGAAGTGTGCTTCTTAGGGTTTCAATGTGTGCTGGTTTTTGGAAGTACGTCACCAGGCCTTTCTTCCGCAGCACCTGTAGGTAGGTAGACTTAACCCCCTTTTGGTTAGGCAGTGAGCTCGTAACCATTCATGTCACAATGGAATCGTGGATCCATCCATGAGGGACCCTGCTTCTGTGCCCGGTGACAGCTTGATGTGATCTGAACTTTGCTCACAGGCTGGAATAGGGACTTGGTCGCTGACCAGGTGGCCCTGCAGTGGTATTCCCTTTGGAAAACATTAATTTGGGGTTTTGACTTGGGGATCGAGACCTCGGAATGCTCCCGAGTGCTACGCAATGTACCCCTGGAGTTCCCAGAGCCAGCATTGCGTCTTTGTTTCAAATGTTCGCTCAGGTTAGGGTTACCAGACGCAGTCTGGGTCCAGGGCTCCAGGACCATCTGGACCGCACCGTCCAGACCTGCTGGGACACTGAGGGCGGCTGGGGGAAAGCAAACTCCCAGACGTGCTGGCCGGGAGGAGGCCTCCTGTCATAAAGGGACGCGGTTCCAGGCCGCAGAGGACGGATGACACAGGGTGGGCTGTCAGCAAGGTGGCAGAGAGGAAGTCTTTAGATTGACTAGCTAGAGAAGACCACTCCCAGCTCCACTTGAGAAGTGATTTTCTCAGGATGGTGCTTGATGGCGAGGACGTGACTTGAATTCCAAGAAGGGTGAAGTCTGCCGGATTCTGGAGAGAGAGGCTGGCCAGGCCTTGAGATTCTAGGATGGAACGCTTGGCCTGTCTGTGGAATGTAGCTCGCATGTGTCATGTTCCGCTCTGGCCTCTGGCTCTGCCCAGATCCCCGGGCGATGAGACTGTGGTGTGAGGTAGGCGTTGTCTCGTAAATGGGAACCTTTGTTTTCATTGCTGCTTATTTCTTACTCCTGTGCTCAAGAGAATTCTTTCCTATTCCTTTTTTTTATTTTTTTTATTTAAGTGCCAGGAGTCTCATTCATTCCAGGACTTGATGTAATGATATAGGGCAGCCTTTTAAAGTTGATCTTTCTGGCACTATCATCGCCAGAGATTCCAAGCAAACTACTCCTCTTCCTAGGGTGGAAATATAGCTGCATTTATTCATTTTACAATCATTGGAAGACACTCTTCCTTTTTTTTTTAACACTCTTAAGAAACTGCCCCATATGACTTCCAAGGCCACAAATCAGAGAAGCAGACTTCTGAGTCTTTGTCCTGAGGAGCGGCTGGGAGGTTTGAACCGCCAACCTTTCGGTTACCTGCCAATCACTTATCCCAGTGCATCTCTAGCACTCCTTTAAGAAAAGTAATATTACATATCCCAGGAAATCTTCAATATTAAAATACCTCACTGTCTCTTTCTAAGATTCAATTTGTGTCTCCAGTGATTTAGCCCATTTATCTGACACCTAATATTCGTTGGATATGTGGGAAAATGAAAAGTCTAGCTTCCTAAGGAAGGATGCTCTGGTGCCCTGTCTGTGGAGGGAGCTGCACTTGTAGCCCAAGGTCAAGTCTCTGTGCTGGATCAGATTGCCCAGCGCCTCCTGGGGTCAAGAAGACCAGTCTCCCCCATGCAGCTTGTGGCCTCAGAAACCCAGAGAAGGGCCATCTGTGTGTCAGTTCCAACTCACATCAGTCATTTTTCATGACGAAATGGAAAGCTGTTCATTGGCTGGCTTGTTATGTTCACCTCCCCACCTTCACCGTATCCAGGACATTTCCTTTCGTTGATAATTACATCAGGAGCCCTGGTCTAAAAGATCAGTGGTTCAAACCCACCCAGCATCTCCACAGTGGAGACCTGACAGCTTGCTCCTGTGAGGGTCACAGCCTCCGAAGCCGGACAGGGCAGCTCTGCTCCGTCCCACGAGGTGACTGTGGAGCAGAGTCAACTCGATGGCGACAATAACAACACACACAGCTGGGCCAGTGTCGTCAAGTCTGTCCCTTCTCGTGGCAGCGCCCACCGCATTTCCCAGACTGTGACTCTGCAGGAGGCCTCTCTCCGGCAGAGCAGCAGGTGGATTCAAACCCTAGACCTTTCGGTGAAGAGCACACCATGTAGCCCTTACAGCAGCAGAGCCCCTCACGCAGTCAATGAGGGGAGAAAGCCAGAGTCAGGCTGCTTTACGGACTTGACAGTGAGGCGGATGGCGTTGATGATTTTGACCCTAAAATACAGGAAGTCAGTCCCCCACGAGGATGACCCCGTCCCAGCACAGCCTCGCCGTAATTCCTTTGTGACTGAGTCTTGAAAATCTGCCCAGGTTTAGGTGTTAACTAGTAACTTGTTGGCCAGGCTGTGACACTGACACGGAATTCCCTGTTCACTGCTCTTTCCTTTTTTCATTCACGGAGAGCAATGCTGTCTGGTGCGTCTTTTACCCTCCGGATAATGGAGAGATAATTCAAGGGCTTCTACTGGGCCGGAGCGTGAAGATCCGTTCCCTGAGTGCTGAGAGTGGACCTTAGCTTTGGCCGACACCTAACCAAGACCGATTGCACTGCCGCCTGTGTGTGACACCCCATAGCTGCCCTGTAGGACAGAGTAGAACTGCCCCGTGGGGCTTCCAGGGCTGCGATCTGTACAGCAGCAATCTGCCTCACCTTTCTCCAGCTGGTAGATTCGAACTGCCGACCTGTTGGTTAGCAGCCAGGCACTTACCCAATGTGCTCCCGGGACTCCATAGGAATGAGCAAGGCGCCTAGCTGCACTGACGGAGTTCCTGTCTTCACTGGCAGTGTCGCACTTGTGCCAGGAGGCTGTCCTGCTCAGAGAGGATGCCCACCCCCTGTTTGTCCACCTGGTCCCTCCAGCGCAGCTCTGGCCACTGACTTCATCCTGCCCTTGAAGGAGGTTCCTTCTCCCTGTCATTTCTGCCCGCTGGTTCGGTCTGTCACACCATCCGCCATCGGTTTGATGTTCTGGTGGCCGGCTTGTTGCTGGGATGCTGGAAACCACGTGAAAAAACGAGTCATGAGAGAACAATCCAGGACGTCAGACACGAAGGAAGCAGAAGGTCACTTAAGCGAAGAAAGCGGTGCCTCTGAAGAAGGAGCTGACCAAGCCACTCCCAAGAATGAGCCCTTGAAGACCCCGCAGGGCGCAGTCACCTTGGACACGGAGGGGTCAGTAGAAGCCACCTTCTGTGGTGACTGGCTAATCCTTGAAGGGCAGTGAGCTCTCCCTCAGCTGGGTGAGGCTTTGTAAATAAACCAGTATAAAATAAATAAACTAATAATTAAAAAAACAGTGTGTGTGTGGGGGGGTCTTCCAGGCTGGTAGCTGCATTCTCTGACTCCCCACGGGGCACCCAGGATGACAGCAGGGCTGATGGTTGGAGCTCTGGCAGCCTACTGGTAAGGCGTTGCTCTGCCAACCCAAAGGCACACAGTTTGAGTCCACCAGCGCCTCCAGGGGAAACACTGGGCACTCGCCTCCCATGCGATTTAAAGCCTTTGAAAACCCACCAGCAGGTCACCTGAGTCAGTTCCTACGCCACAGCATTTAACAAGCAGAGCGAAGGTTGGCAGTGTGAACTCACCGTGGAAGAAAGTCCAGCCGGCGCCTCTAGCTGGGAAAATCCTGCAGAGCGCTGTCATCCGTTACCCGTGGGGTCCAGCTGATGCCGTGTTAGCAACAGTACACGTCGTCATGCGTGCATGTGGACCTGCGTGCCCACGAAGAACAGCTCCCGAGCCTTTCCTGGGGTCTCCCGTTGGGGCTCCCTGCGTGAGAGCAGACGCTCCACCCACTTGCACTGGCAGAGATGCCCCAGCCAGCCGAGGCTTTCTGTCCAGCACCGTCCCCGCCCGGCCTGGCCTATGTTTCCAGCATCTTCAAGCTGCTGTGATTAAAGTGAGGCCTTGCCCACCCCGAGCGGTGAGGTGCCTTCAGAGCTGAGAAGTGGGCTGAGAGGCGCTTTCTGGGGGCTGGCTTCCTCTTTTTCCTATTTCTCTGGTCCTTCCTCCAACTTCAGCACCCTCTCCTCCTGGAAAGCCTTCAGCGATTTCCTTGACTTCATCTAATTGCTGGGTGAGTGGCTCTGTATCCCGGCACTT